AGGAAAGAGACTGGGGAGAATGGGAGGGTAGGGAAGGATAAGGGCAGGGAAGAAGAAAGGGGGCATTATGATTAGCATTTATAATGTGGGGGGTGGGGGAAAGAGGAGGGCTTTGCAACACAGAGAAGACAAGTAGTGATTCTACAACATCTTACTATGCTGATGGACAGTGACTGTAATGGGGTTTGTGGGGGGGACTTGGGGTAGGGGAGAGCCTAGTAAACATAATGTTCTTCAAAAAAATAAAAATAAATAAATAAAAATAAAAAAAATGAAAAAAAAAATGAAGCAGGATAAGCCTTGGGCACGGGACTGAAGCAATTTTCTCATTTGAAAATTCTTCCTCTTTGTCCATCTGTTCCCAGACCTGTGTGGTTTGCACAAGGTCACAGAATGCGCTGGAAGCCAGCCCTTTCAGAGTGTAGGCACAGAGAGCTCTAAGTGTTGGCTACCTTCAGAGGCTCAAAGACACTGCTTCCCCAAAAGACAGAAACTGCTCTTAGTACATAAAGCCTTTTAGATAAACGCAACATAATAGAAAAGGGTGTTTATCTGTATCTACAAAGTGAGCCAGTGGTGGAAATGGGACTTAAGGTTCCTTTCCGAACCTCGTGGGAGGGTGTTTACCATACCTACCCTCCAACTGAATCTTCTGTCTTCTCCATCTCAGGTAGGGGCTGGGTTTCCTTATTGGCTTTAAAAGGGGGACCACCAGCCCTTGATCTGGTTTTTCAAATCTGGCGACCAATTCCTTTAGGTTTGGAAAGAGCTGTTTTTGAGCGCCTTCCACAGTCTGCAAAAATACGAGAGAAGATCAACTCATCATCTTGCAATTGTGTGTGAAATGTGACACTTGGCAAAATAGTGGTTTTTGGGCTGCCTCTGAGCTGACAAGCAAAACAAGTGGCCTGCAGGTCACGCTTAGGAGCTCACGCGCATTGCAGTGCACACGAACCCTGGTTTTTCAGACTGACCTCTGACCGGAGCTACTGTGACCCTAGAGGACTAACGGTCAAGGGGCCACACCTCAGTGTGCAGTACTGAGTGAGCCCCCATCCTTGGCAAGGTTGTCTGGGGCGGTTCTTGCAGCTACACTGTGGAGGGCACCCCTCTGACGGTTCCAGGGAGCAAACCTGCCTCCCTGGAAGGTTTGCTCTCCTAGGGGACTAACAGGTGGACTTCTGGTGGGAAACGCAAAATACTTAATTTACATTCTTGTGAATTCAGAATCTCCATGAGAGGAAAACGAGACAAAAGTTTGGATTTATATTGAAACTAGGAATGTCAGCATGACTTGGGTAAGTTGTAAATAGTCTTCTGCTTACCAGCTCTACACCAAGTGCACTTTTCTAATATAACCTTAAAGCAATTCTTTAAAAACAGTTCGCTCCTTTTGCTCTCGTGTGGTTTTCTTGATCACTGTGGTTCTCATACAGCTCCCCGTCAGACCACAGGCAGAGGTGGTGACTGGAAGGTTCTCCCGTGCAGTGTGGTTAACCTCCGCAATGGATATAGATGCAGGCTGACTTTGAAGTCAGCTGCAGGAAGGTCACAAGTAGGGTCATCCCTTCAACCCAGGGCGGCATTCACGATGGCCTCTGAGCGCAGAGCTGCTTCCCAATGAAACGCCCCCTGTGTCTGAGCTACAACTGACTTGGATGTTTCTCTGTTTCATCCAGACAAGAGACAAAACGGGGTATTAAGGGATTGCCTAGAATTCCCCAAAGGATGCGCAGCAAAGGAAAAAGTTTTAAAACAAGTTGCTCTTTAGAAAACATTCTGAGATCATTTCAGACTTAAAGAGTTGCAGAAATGTTTTACCCCATGTGTATTCTTCACCTACACCCCAAATGTTAAGTTTATTATATTTGCTTTTCATTCTATTTCTAAATATATATATATGTGTGTGTGTGTGTATATATATACACACACATATATATGTATTTATATATTCCATTTTTTTAAATGTTGAGAGTAAATTGTTGACATGGTACCCCTTTAACCTAAATACTTCAGTATTTCCCCAAAAGCAAGGACATTACATATCCATGCTATAATGGTTAAAATGAGGAAATTCATCTTGATGTAGTACATTTACTCATCAACAGGCCTTATTCATATTTTCTCAGTTACCTCAATAATATCCTTTATAGCATAAATAAATATATGTATTTGAGGGTCATTTATATTCTAATCTCTTCCAGATATTCACAGTGACCGTTAGCATATTGAAGATTCTGAGAAATTGTGCAGTAAAAATCTGCTCAAGCTTGCATGTGTCTCAGAAAGACTGTTCCAGGATTCTGTTAGTAATTCAAGATTTAATTATGTTTATTACACTCTACTTCCTAAGGCAGAGAAGCAAATTCAAAATGTGCAAAAGGTTTTCCAGCACACCAGAAAAATCAAAGAAATCCCTAAGATTGGCAGTTGACTGATTCTTCTTCCCTTTATATTTTCACACAACTGTGGAGCCCCCTTGACTTCCCAAATGTTCAGACCTCTCCCCACCTTTCCTTTCCATGCTGTCCTGGTCATTGTTTGTCCTCTCATTCGGCAGAGGTCCTACACGGAGGCCAGGTTGTTCCATTTGACCGCTGAAGGAACAGGGCGTACTTTACACTTTTGAATGACGGCCTTGTTTGTTAAAAAATGGGACCCAATTCCAGTGCCTTCCTAGTTCTTTCCGAGAGAGACAAGGTTAAATATTGGCCTGACTGACTCTGCACGGTGCTTCCCTTTCAGAATGCCCCACACGGCTGGGCCTCAGGCTCTTCTCTCCAGGCTGTTTGTCACAGGCGTTCCTGTATGTTCTTACCTGTATATTGTAACACCCATGTTTCTCTCTGAAGATTCGGTATGTGTAGACGAAATTTTTAAACCTGTGGAAAGATGACTGTGTGAATCATAATGTTCTTACATACAAGTCCAGGTAACATCCACTATTATATATTTTGTGTGCCTTGCCTTTGTGAATCTTGGGTCCCAAAAAGAAATGGATCATTCTCAGGCCTTCTCATCTGTAGGAATTTGAGACAGAAGTTTTGAAATGGTAGAATTTGAAAGACGGAGGTTTTGAAATATTCTGATGGTAGAAGTCTGAGTTTAGTAAGAGGATAAGAGAGAGAATTTACAGTTTCCATAGTTTTGCTACTTATCTCTAGTCTTCTGCATTTAGCTCTAAATTGATACAACATACAGAGCGCCAGTGAACACTCCTGTACTGTTCATTAAATGGTATGTCACTGGCCTCGTTAGGGATAGTTAGCGCAACCAGAAGAGAGAATGTTGGGAATTTTGCCCAAGCAAGTGATATGTTGTGTTCCTGTTCCTCATGGGAACCAGAGCCATTGGCTAAGAAATCTAACCAGAATTTAGATAACAGACCCAATTCAGCAATTTCCAAAGCAAAAAATAGCATACATCACTATGTTTCTTCAATTCTAAGATGTCATCAATTGTAAGATACAGTATCAATTTAGTAATAGCTTTCCAGGAGAAAAGTGCTTATATTAAATGTAACTATTGACTGTTAAACAGGTTCTGATTCAACAGAAATATTAAAAGGTGAAAAATGAGAATCAAAGACATTGACATGAGGTTCAAAGTATCTGACTGATCCCCTCCTACTTGCACCTAGAACAAAGAATCAAATGACTAATGATTGAATTGGGAAGTCAGATAGCTATTTATAATTTTAAGGTACAGAAGACTTTACCACTGATTGTGGAGGTTCTATGTTAATTAGTCCAGAAGCCATATACTTGGAGTTATAAGGCAGATATTGCTCAAATATGGTCTAATTCTTTACCAACTATTTTTAATGAAATAACAAGCCCCATTGTAACAACGCGTTAAAAGAAACTGATTTACTGAACTTGTGATACTATATGCCTTTGTTTTAGAATGTTTATGCAGAAAAACGATGGGATTACAGAGCAATGATATTAGGACCTGCTTTATAGGACTGTGGTATTACCAGTAAACATAAAAATGGTTTTTATGCCAGCGTTAATATTTTATAAATGCCATTTATAAAACTCGTAAAAGAAGCATGATTTTTCAGCATGAATTTACACTAAAGTTGTATAAAAAGCCCATGCTTCCCCTTGGCCTTCTGCCCCCATCACCAGTGGTGACAAAGGGGCCCCTCTTCACCCCGAGCACATGCCGTCCTGCCCCTCCCTCTCTCCCACAACTGCAACTACCCCACCCCCCACCCCCAGGAGTCCAGTGAGCTGAACTCATCATGCCCATTGCCCCCGTTTGTCTGTCTTTACAAGAGCCTCGGTTCCCAGGCCATCTCTGTTCTGTTTTCTAATCCTACGGAGCTCGGCATGGCCTCTGCTGTGACCCTTTCTCCCCGACTCCTGAAATCCTCCCACTGTGTTCTCTGGAACTCAAGGTCCCTCATCAGCAAAGGGCCCTCTGTCTTCAGCCTCTGCCCTAAGCATCCTTGTCACTGTCCTGTCCTGCAGAGACCTGGCTGTGCCCCGAGGACAATGCTCCCCCTCACCCATGGGAAAGCCCTCTCGCTGCGGGGCTGGGAGGGAGGCCAGTGTTCTTGGTTCTCTCGGCTCTTCAGGGCCGCTTCCCTTCTTCCTCCAAATCCTCAGCTTGGGGGTTCATGTCAGTAGGTTGTATTACCGCCTGCCCCTCACTGTTGCGACCTCCCCTGGCTCCTGGGTCCAGCGCCCAGCTCACCGGCCCTCTCTTCACTGCTGCTCCTGCCCAATCTCAGGCCATTTCAATTCACGTGTAGATTATGCCCTAACTCTCCTAGTTCTTAGTTCCTTGAGCTCTTCTTCGGTGATCTTGTCCTCCACCCACATCAGCCACTCACTCCCACATTGATCACCCAGACTGGCGACGTAATTTGTGGGACTCAAGGCAAAATGAAAATGTAAGGCTCCTTGTTAAAAAATCGTTGGGAATTTTGAGACAGTGACAGCAGAGCATTAAACCAAGTGCAGGGCCCTCTGAGGTAGGGCCCGGGGCCAGGTCACAGGTTGTTCTCCAGGAAGCCAGCCCCACTCAGGACTTTGACCTTGTGACTGCCAGTAATGACAGCTCTCTCATAATGTGAACTTCACGCATCCCCCTTTCTCCTACTTCCCATCTCTCTCCAGATCCCTTCCTCTACTACCCTGACCCCAATAATCCCTTGACCCCATATTCCCTCCAGTCCATTGATCCTACTGCTTGTGTTCAGTCCCTCCTGTGCCCAGCGTAGATTGCTTGTCCGCCCTTATTAGGGTCACGCCTTGTGTACACCTTCATCTCCTTTACCATCTTTCAGTTTATTTACTCAGCTAGCAAAACCAGAACCCTGATTAAGCCCGTCCTGTAGCTGTACGTGGCTGGGGAGAACAAACACGCAGCCACGTTGACAAATCTAATGTGGGCTCGTAATGTCTCTAGGCAATCATTTACTTCCCTATTCTTTTTTTTTTTAATTTTATTGAAGTATAGTTGACACACGATATTATATTAGTTTACTTCCCTATTCTCAACAGTTCTATACTGTGTCCTTGATTCTTAAACACTCAACACCTCTTAACTGATGACTTCGCAAAGATTGAAGCAATCAGAAGAGAATTTCCTGATTCTACGTCCTATTAGCATCTGTGCTCAGGCTCCGCCTTTGTTACTGCAGATGACCTTTCCACGTTGCCCTCTAGAGCTGGTCCCTCCTGTTCCCACTGGATGCCACCTGCTTCCATCCATTCAAGAACATAATTCTATAATTTTTTCCTCTCTGTTGTCATTAATCATTATTTTTTACACAACAGCCAGGGTGGCCCTTTCTAACAAATATGAGTCAGGTCATGTCACTCTGCACACAAATCTGGTCAGTTTGGAAGACAAGAAATAAGATTGGGGGTGTGTGTGTTTGTTGTGGTGGTGGGGGGCATGTTCCTGTCTTAACAGGTTTCAAGTCTTCTCATAAAGCTGCAATTCAAGTAGTGAGGAACTGGTTCTGACGCATGGAATAAAATAGCTCAGAAACAGACCCATATATGTATGAAAAGTTGATATGTGACGGAGGTAGCATAGCAGATCTGTGAGGAGGTGATGGACCATTTGTTAAACGGTAATGATAATGTTTGCACATTGAAACAAAAAAGTCAGATCCCTACTTCACACTCCAATTGAAGACCCAATTATGAAAATGCAGAACATTAGGAGAAATAAATGTAAGCGAACAACTTAATGACCTTAAGTTAAGAAAGGAGTTCTTAAATCACGAAACTACAAGCCATAAGGAAAGAGTACTCCACTCACTATATTAAAATTAAGATTTCTATTTATCAAAGTATACCGTGAACAAAGTGAAAAGACCCACAGATTGGGAGAGGATAATTACATGCCTAATATATAATAACACAAATGTACAATAAGCAAAAGACAAATGAAATGGCCAATAAACATGAGAAAAGATGTTTCCCTTCACTACTCAGGGAAGTACAAGAAGCCACAATCAGAGACCATTTCATACTATTTCATTGGCAAAGATATAATAGTTTATAAATGGAAAATATTGGCTGTGAATGTGGAGCTCTGGAAAGTTCTATATTCTAATGGGAGAGTAATTAGGTACTAATGTCTTGAAGGACAATTGGCAACATTTAGTGAAGTTGAAATGCCTATGAGCCCAAAAAGTCCACTCTTTGATGTTGGCAATGCTGGAACAAAATTGACAATGGAAATATTATTTATTAAAAGCGAAGATCAGTGAAACGAGATAGGTAATACATTTAAATACATCAAAATATTAAAAATCATAAATGTATTATAAAAATATCAAGTACAAGTATAAATTAATGAATACATATTTTCAAATGAGGACTATCATTGGATTCAATTAAAATCCAGTATTCAAAATACAACAAGCACTCAAAAATGAAAAATTTAAGGTAAAAACTTTTTTTAAGTGAAATTTCGAGGGTGAAAAAGGAAAGACAGGAAGGAATGAAGGGAGGGGAGAGAAGAGGGCAGGGAGGGAGGGTGGACCAATGATGACATCACTGAGTCCTGAGGATTTTTTAATGCAAATTTTTCCATCTGTTGGAAAAGCGCTGTTTACACTAGTTGGGAAATGGTAAGGATGTAAATATCAGCTGACTCTAAATATTTGTCTTTGGTTTGTTCATCTTCACACAATCTCATCTCTTCTTTTGCCACTTTGAAAAAAATCTGTTTTGAACTTTTTGGATTTTTATTGGAGTTAATGCCTGTCTATTGAAAGCAAGCTACAGAGTTCGTTATTTAAGCCTTTAAAAAACTCAGTGGTTAACTTTCTGGATTCCAGATGCTTCCTGACGGCTCTGAAATAGCCAAACACAAAAACAAAACAGTTAAACGCAGAGGGCTCCCCCTGAAGGGTGTTGTTTTTACCACCAACCTCACCCGTCTTGAGTGAAGTGCACTGTGTTTCAGTAAAGGGTGTTTTCATTCTCTAGTAATTCCCCCTTTAAGGAGGTTTTCCTTTTTACAATACACAGAAAAGCATTTTAGATGCTTTAATAAGCAGGCCTAAAATGACTATAGTATAAAAATTGGCATCGCCCCTCTTCCCTCTGTGCCTTTAGGAGGGTGGGATGGGGGAGAGGGTTGACCCCAGGCTTGTTCTCGCCGGGAAAGGAGACGAGTGATGGGCAGGTAGGGTTTACTTGGCATCTTCCTGTCTAAAGAGGCCTCGAGTCTCATAAAGCTGTGATAATCAGTATCACAATATCCTCACTGTCCACACACCACGATCACCAGCCACACACCATCTCTGCCATCCAAGGCTTTGCTCGAAGGCCTGGTGGTGCCAGCCTGCTTCAGGTGAAGGGCCCTGGGATGGGTTCTTGCCCCATCTCACTGGGGCGAAGGCAGG